AATAATAATAATAATAATAATAATAATAATAATAATAATAATAATAAAAATAATAATATTTCTTCACATTAAAACGATCATTGCAAAAATAACAATATTAATTTTTTTAATATAATAATTTAATTTTTATATACATGTACAACATCACAGTTTGTCGTAGGTACGGTGGTTCAGGCAGACTATCATCAGCCTATCTGGACGGTATCGGCTCTAGGAAATCCAACTCAAGCTCTTGCTCTAGTTGACTAATGGTACTATTCAGGGATGGGTGAGGCTCGCCAGTGCTTAGAGCAGAGAAAAATGGATGAAGCTCTTGTAATGTACGGGCTGTTGAACCAGTTGGCAACAAAGTATCAGGATACGTTTCTATTGGACTCCCATACTGCAAAAAGTAATCATATTATTTTTATTATACAAAAAAAAATGGCACAAATTTAATATATTACTTTTGAATCCATAATCCTTGCTATTCTTAAAACATGTGGAACAAATTCTACTAGGTTTTGTTCATTATGTGATAGTTCAGGTCGTCCAACAAAAGCCCATTTATACCTATAAAATGGTTATTACATAAGATTTAAAATATATAATTAAGTAATAACGATTAAATTTACATTTGAAATTGAGGTAAAATATCAGCAGGAAGTTGAATGGCAACACTGAGAAGTTTAACTGCAGCTAGTTGAAGTTGTAACCACTGAGGATTACTGCTAGCATGAAGACCATTATTGCTGTTAACTACCCATGTCCAATCAAGTCCTGATAGCAGCCTTATGTGTGAACTGAAATTATAAAATAATATAAATTACTAGTCATAATTTATGTGAAGTAAAAATACTTTTAAACAGAGAATATTCTATGCATTAAAAAATGTATGGTACATTATCTACAAAAAATGATAATATTTTTATTAATGTAATTATTATTTAAGGATTAGATAATGCATTAATTACAAAAGAAAAATAATTGGCTGAGAAATTAGTAACTAAAAATTGAGATAGATTAATTTAATAAAATATAAAAGTAATAATTATTATTTATAATAAACATACAATTAAAAAAAAATATTTAATTATTTATAGTAAGGAAGTATGTATGGTATAAAAACTTTCTAAAAAATTTCTTTTTAAATTAAATTTTATGTTTAACAAACTTTCTTATACACAGAATATTTAATAGAATTAATAGCTATTAAAAGTGATAATTTATTTTTAGTAATTGTTATTCTGAAATAAATAGAAACTATAATAATAAATAAAGAATTATCTCTGTTTTATTATTAAAATTATATGTTTATGGTGGATAGATATAAACATGATGAACATTTACTATGTTCATACAAATATCTACAAATTACATTAAACAGAAGTTATTTTTATTTTTTTTTTTACTTAAAATTATTTTGTAATATAATTTAATATAATTATTAGAGAATTACTATTTACTTTTATTATACATTCATATACAAATATAAAACAATCATATTAACTGATTGTATTCTTAAGCTTAAACATAATACTATTGATTATAAACAAATAATAATCAATGATAATATTAAATTATAAATAATTTAACAGTTCAAATTAAGTATTAAGTTATAATTTTATGCACATAAAATATATATTACATATGAACTATATGATTAATGAATTATGGTAGTTAGTTTGGATTCATGCTACAAATGTTGATCAATAAGAATCAGTTTAACCTATACAATGGCTTAATTCATGCATATATAATTGCTATAACCGACCAGAAGCATAGATTTGTATGGAATTGTCATATAATAAAATGTAATAAAAAGCACTTTTTTAATGCTGAAAATTAATACCTATTATATTTAAGTAAATATAATACTAGGTATTAAACATAAATAGGAATCAATCATTTCACTTACAGTTTTACTGATCATTAATTCCAATAAGCATTAAATAATTTTAAACTTTGTTTTCATTCTTCTCGTATCATAATTTGTACTATAAATATGTTTTTATATTTAAAAACGTTAAAATAATACAATATAAAAAGACAAATTAAAATTAAATATGTAGAAAAACTTCATAAATTAAATACAATACTATAGAAAGATTAATAAATTACATGCTTTAATGATAACATTTTAAGTGAAGCTTATTTACTTTATGACTAAAAGAATACAGCTGATGATCCTTAAGTAATTGAATAATATTTAGAACCAATATGATTGTTAAGCATTGCAATTTTAATTTTAATATTTTTTTTCCTGGTTTTAATGAATGGGGAAAATTGAACTTACACTTAAATTAAAATATATTATAATTATTATATTTTATGACTGAAAGTTTTTATTTTGATTAGGTCTTCAAAGCATGTCTTTAAATATTTTGTTTCAAATATCATAGATTAAATGAATATAATTTATTCTAGTATAGTAATAACTAAACAAATTTTTTTTTTTGTAATTTATTTGATGTTTAATATATATCAATTATAATTGCCAAAATTGTTTTAACTTTTATAGATACTATCATAATGGTTTCTTTAAAAACTAAATATTTTATTAAGAATATTACTGGGAATTAATTATTATGCTTATGTATAAGCCCTTAACAATTAGGGTTACTATTAGCTATATCATAATTTTTGTCATTTAAGATATTTTATCTAAAAACTATACTATTATTCTTTATGCCAGAAAAAATATTGTTTACACACACTATTTTGAAATAAATACTAACATACTAATTGATTCTACAGGCAATTAAAAATAGCTAATACAATTGCATACTTCCACACACCAAACTAAAATTATTGATCAAGGTCAAGTCAATTTTGGATTTGTTAAAGGCAATTAATACATTATTTTATAGTTAACTTATTTTAACATAACCAGTAAACATTATTGAGTACTGGATAGTATGCATATAGAAACTAAAAAGTGTTCTTTTTCCCCAATTGATGTTCTGTTCACCATAAGAACTTACTTTTCAATTGTATGGTTGGCAATGACAGTAGATTTTCTAGAATTTGACGAACTCTGTTTTTCTTGCAAATTATATTTGTTTCGATGGTTCCATTTTTTTCTTCTTCTTGAAGATGAATTTGCTTTAGGAGTAGATTCAGCCATATTCAATTCTTCACTACTATAATAATGAGTAAGGAAATCAAGAATTGGGAAAGTTGTAGAAGAATGGAAAAAAAGAAACACTGATTAATTTTTTAATCATTAGCCTTATTAGTTTTTATTCAATTTTTAATATTTATTTTACTTAAAATGAAAAATATTGGAAAGAAGAATATCAGTAAAAGATTTAACCCAAGACACCTTCAAGCAGCAACATTGACTTAACCTTGGTAATAGATTACAAAATAATTATTAGAACTATGTTAGAACTAAAAAGAAAGAAAAAAAAAAATTAAAAGCACACACCAAACTGGCAATAAGCATACATATAACATACCTGGTATTTCGTCTGCCATAAGCCAAAAATGGGAGATCAGCCACACGCCCCAGAAAAACAAGACATTATATATCCCAAAATGAAGACGAAATTAATATAATCAAATTATATTCACAATTTATAATATTTTTTACATACCTGAACTCTTCTGAATCTGTACTTAAATTATGTTCAATGTGTATCATAACTTGAACCATTTCACTAACTATAATTGGCCACATAGAAGTTATATGGTGACCAGACATACGTAGTAGTAACACCCTGAAGCATAGGAACACTTGAGCATGAATACCGGGTCCTGATTGTGGCATACGGAGAGTGTCAACTAGTCTTTCTATAGATATAAAAAAGTTTTTTAGAATTTGTTTTTCTAAAATCTTTTAAATTTTTTATTTTAAAATTAACCTTGAATTTCAGGAACATGTTTATGAAACTGGTCTTTTTCACTGCACAATAAAACAAATGCAAGTCTTTTTAATAGTTGGGCTCTAAGTTCACATTCTTGTTCTCTATTTGAAAATAAATTTAAGGAATTTGCTTGACTCATATTAATTCGACCTTGAATAATAAAAATAATAATAATAAATATATAAAACAGATATTTATAAAATAAGAAGTAATTTAAAAAAAAAAAATACCCATAAAATCTCTAAAAGTTGTTGTATCTTGAGACATTAAATTGTCAATAATAATTTTCCAATATTGAATACTACGATCTTCCATTTGAAATAGTGTTGAATCAAGTAAAAGTTCCATAGCATCTTTCTTCCAAGCTTTTCGTGTATATTGATAGGTACTAATGCTGGCCAAAATTTGAGAACATGCATGGAAACTTGGCATATTTTTATTACTAAAATGTTATTAATCAAAAGTTAAAAATAAAAAACTTAGATATATTATAGTATTTACTATAAAATAAATACTAACGTATGGTTCTTCAAATAAGGTGTTACATTATACATGACCATTGTGAGTATTGTACATACTCTTTCTTTTTCTTGGTTACCAAATGTTATGTCTAACAAAGGAGCAAGAAGTTGGGCAAGAACATTTTGGGCTGGTATACTATACTGAGCATTGCTTCCACTACCACTTCCAACTGAAAAATATTATGGATTACATATAAATTATTAGAAAATTTAATAAATATTAAAAAAAGAATTTGAATTATTAAAAATATTTTTTAATTTTCAACCTTTTTCTATATCCTTTTCAGTGATAGAGTTGGCTGCTGATAGTTCATCTTCCCTTACAGACACATTTCTTCTTAACCATGAACTTTGTTCTAAACAAGCACCTGCTATTTGAGAGCAGCTTTCAACCATCTAAAAATAATATAAAATTTAAGAAACATGAATATTTAAGTGTATTGTGTGAAAACAATTAATTTTAAAATACTATTGAATATACCTTAGCTGTAATATCTTGGAGGTCTTTCTGATCCTTACGATCAGCTAATGGAGCTGGAGCTCTATGAACAAATTGACTTAATACTGATAATAGCATGAATTGTGAAGGAGGTGACAATGTTATTCCTTCTTTAAGTAATCCAAGAAGAGATGGCCATGTTTCAGCCAAATAATGACCTGGAGTAAGCTGTACATAATGAATAAATAATTCTAATACGCTTACTTCAATACTGATTTGAGTATCTTGTTGACCTGCCTGAAATAGAATAAATTTATAATAAAATTAAATATTAAATAAACATGAAATAATCAAGCTAGTAATTACTTGACTTAAGGAAGGTTGTTTAACCACTTGATGAATAGTTTGTATCAATGAATCTAACGGCATAGACTTAATTGAACTCAATAATTGTACTAACACTTGTTGCATTTCTGTTGCTTCGGGTACAATCTAAAATAATATGTGAATTAATGTTCAATTTAATTGATATCAGATATAAATTTATAATTAATCATTATTTAAAGACTGGGTTTTAGTAAATAACTGATTAGATGATCATTTGATTTAGATCTATTTCAATTAAATTGTAAAATAGGGAAATAAATAATTAATTAAAAAATTATGGATGTAAATAATTTATAAATTATCTTACAGATGAAGATAAAACTGATGTACGTGATCGTCTTTCTTTCCATACAATTGAAAATGCTGTTAAAAAGCTATTGCCATGATGTTCAGCAATAGGGCTTAATAATTCTAAAAGTTGGCCTTTAACTAATCTTGGGCACCCAGCTACATTGTTTTCACTGTAATAAAAATAATTAAAAACATATGCATAGGTAATTTACTAAATCATTACTAATTAATAATAAATAAAAAGCTGTAGTATTTACCTTTGTTTTCCAGTACAAAGAGCTTTCCACAATAGCGAAACACTTGCCACTATTCTGGGTAAAATAGCTAGTAAAGACCTTCTTGCTCCTAAATGTGGCTCAGTTTCATCGTTAGATGATTGATCTTGAAGCTATACAAATTTAATAAACAGATAAAATTTAATATATAAATATTTACTGTTGAAAAAACATAATATAGTGTAATATTAGGTTAATACTTACAGCTAACAGAGGAGATGGTATAAAAACATGAACAAGATTATTGAACAGCTGTGCTGGAGTATTTGAATTTGCTGAAGAATTATGGTCCAAAGGATGGTTAAATGGTTGGCCAGTATCAAGAAGACAAAAATGACATAATACAGTAAGAGCTTCCAATTGTGTAATTGCATAATCTGCTGGTAACCTGCAACACATAATTTAATGTTTACTAATTATAAAGTTTTTAAAAATAAAAAAAAGCGAGTAAATGTAGTTATATACAATATTTTACCTTAGATTAACATTTTTGGTATTATCAGCATAAACTTCTGCTAGTGTTTCAATATTTGCACATAATTGTCGTACAGTTACTGAGACAACATTGACCAAGGCAGGTCCAAGATATGGTAATGAAGACGTCACAAGTGATGTCCAGTTAATATGGGAATGTCTCATACGTGCAGATGGATGTAAGGCAGCAACCAATGCAGTAACAAACATTGGTTGCATTGGAATTGGTCTACCAGATAAGTAACGTACATCAGTACCTTCTACATTATCTGCAGCTAAATCAGCATAGGAATCATTTACCACATTGTTACCTCTATGACGGCTATTATCAACTTCATATTCAAGTATGATTAATGATAGCAATAATCTTAATAAGAGAGCTTGGAATGCTTCAGATTCACGATTCATTCTACCTTCAACAGCTCCTTGATCAGTTGGATCATGATTGTTAAATGATAATATTTCTGCAGTGAAACTAGTAGCCTTGCTTTCAGGACCAGAATTTTCGAGTACACTACTTAATAAACAGTGTAACGCAACTTTTTGTGCTTTACATCTAGCTAGTAGCTCTGCTAAATAACATGCTAAACCTCGTCCACTATCTCTTACGATACCACTTAATTCCCAACAAATAAGGCTTAAAAGTTCAACACTTGACATTTGTACTTGACGGTTACCAGCAATATCTTCTTGTGTGATTTTAGATTGTCCTAAATTAGGATAATAACTTCTTATATAATAAAGACAAATAGATATGAGTAATTCTAAATACATGCTGCTTCCACGATTATATGGTATTCCTGTCATATCAATTTCTCCATGAAATCCTCTACCAAACATTGACTTCCTATGCCTAGAAAGTAATTTCAAAATTTGAGATTTGACTGGAACAGAAGTAGTAGCAGCAGCACATAAAAGTGCACGAGCATTTGTTTTTAACATATTTGTTAAAGTACAAAAAGCATACAATGTTCGTTGGACATCATATACTCCACAGTACAGTAATAGATGAGAGTGTATATTTCTCACATTACCATCAATGTTATATTCAGGTGGAGCTATTGAAATATCTTCTTTGATTGATTCAGAAACTTCAGTTAAATCATCATCATCTTCTTCATCATTTAAAGGTACAACAGTTTCATCTATTATAGCATCTAATACACTATTTAGTACTTCTCGCACAACAGATGTTTCTTCAGATTTTGAAGGGTCAAAATATTCATCAGCAGGTGTTGACTCGTCTGCATCTATTTTGATTTGTTCATTTCCACAAAATGAATAGCTTCGAACTAAATCACTATCATTTTCTGTAAAATGACCATTCATATCTGTTGCAGATGCTGATGTTCTTATATTATTACGGTATGTTTCACCATCAGTTACTCGAGCAAATATTGTGTCTGATATTGATGAAAGATGTAATAAATCAATTGATGACATCATGGTTGTAGAATTCATTACTGGATTAGTTTTAAGAGAATCAAGAGAAGAATAAGATCCAGTTCTTTGTACAGATTTTTGAACATTTTTACTCTCTGGTTTTCTCTTGGGAGATCGACGTACTGTGTTTTGTACATTAGATTTAAAGCGTTTTATTTTATTCAACATTTCTATGGTATATTGAGGTGTGCTTTCTTTCTTTTCTTCAGAATAATCTTCATCAAACTCATTGTTATTAGTAACATTAGGATCAACAGAAAAGGGATTGACAAAAACTGAAATATTTTGAAGCAAAGACATGTTCTTATGATGAGATTCAGACATTTCTGCCAATGATGGTTCATATCGAGTCATCATTTGACATTTTTTAACAGTAACATAACGGCTGAATAAGTTAGATGAATCTTGCTCTGCTATAGTGGTGATAGCAAATACACGTTTATTTTGGCTAGTGGTAATTTTTGGTGCTTGCTTACATTTATCTGCTACATGATACATTACATTTCCATCAACTGAACTAATAGCATAAATTTTAGCAGATGGATCATTAGATGATGTTTCTGAATAATCATTTGTTTCACTATTTTGTGTTGGGCTCACTTTAGCATGAAGGACACTTAATCTGGATGTACATGGATCAAGTAGTAATAATATAAGAGGATCTATTAATCGACCAATATCACCTCTTAATAGAGAGTGTAAAAGCCATCCTTCTGCTTCTACTTTTATTGCATTCCTTTCACCAAGTTCTAGATTATCTAGTGTCTTTAACATTGATCTATAAAAATTCAAGTTAAATAATTAATTTTTTTTTTTTAAATATATATTAATACACTTATACAGAGTTATACAATTTCTTAACTACCTATGGATAAAGTTGATTGATAACACATTTTTAAATTATAATTAATAATATTAAATTTAAATAAATGATTAAAAATGTATATGTAACTTTGATAAATCTATTATTAAATAATTATTGTAATTTACTTCCTTCACTTGCCACAAGCTTTGTTTAAAGAGAGTAGGAACAATCAATAAAAGTAAATATGCTTTTTTATTAACAGGTAATAAATAATAAATGTTTAAAAAAAACATACAAACTCAAATACTTTTTTTTTCAATTTTATTTTAAATTTAGAATGCAGTGAATATACTTAAATTTATGCAGTTTTAAAAAAATAAGAATAAACAAATAAAAATGTATTAATTTATTTTTCTATAAAATATTAAATAACTACAATAAATGATTCCTAATATATAATTTATTTGCTAAAAAAATTAAATCAATGAATTACTTGTAAAACATATCTCCAACATTTTGAGAATTTGCAGCAAGTTCTCGGCCAACATGCCATAAAAGGGAAAATTTTCTAAATGCATTTAATTTATGAAATTCGGATGATTTTCTTGATGTTAATTCTTCCCCTATAATACATTAAAAACATTGAAATTAGAGAATATTTTATAATTAAAATAAACAATACATACCAATACAATTTTCTACAATGTCGCTTGAATGTAATGAGCTTTGCATTAAATATAGTAATTCAACACATCGAACTTGATACAGTGGGTTAGCTAAATGAAACCAAAGCCAATGGGCAATAACCTAAACAACATTTTAAACTGTTATAATATTTATAGTTGTAATTATAACATTAATTAATTGTCTTACATGAAATACATTTGTATGATATTCAATATAATATAACTGAACAGGTTTTAATAGTGGTAACAAAACCAACGATATAACACCATTTCTTGATTCATTTGATTTACAATGTAATTGTGAGCTTCTACATAGAGCAACTATATCTACTAAAGTTCCAATAGTCACAAGTTGTAAAGATGGTGCAGTATTTCCTAACCAGCAACAACACACAATTATTAATTTTAACCATTCTGGTAAAACATCATTATTTAAATCTTTTATATCAATAGAAGACACTAATGATGTTGTTGAATCAGATAATGGAATTGCTTGAAATGTTGATATGTCCACTAATACTCTACATGCTAACATAACCGGTTTTGTCCATTCAATTCCAGCACTGCGTTTATTGTTTAAGATAGTTAAAGGTGAAATTTCATCAGCACCTGCATATTCATAGTTTTCATCATATGTGTGTTTTTGTGTATTAAGCACTGTTTTCAAGAGGTCTTCTAAGTTTCTTGCTCGATCTTCAGCAGTTGCTTGAGGTGACTTTACCTTTAAGGCATCCATTAATACTGACAAACCTTTTGTTTCACCTATATTTGCTCTTACACCATAAATAAAAGTAACAAAGAATTTTTCATACTGTTTTATACACGATTTATAAATACTTTGTTGTTCTTTTTGGTTACAATTTTGAATCAACAGAGCTGAATTTAAAGAATCACCATCAAATACTCCACTAGTTGTATCTGAATGTAAATCTATTGAAGGATTATCAGCAATAATTGTTGAATCCGACTGAAGACTGGAAGTATCAGATATGGTTCTAAGTTTTGGAGACTGAGCTCGTTTAACACCACTTATTTTTGGTCCATCTACATTTAGTTGGACAATTTTACCAGGTTCAGTGGCTTTTTTTGGTAAATCAGTAGTTTGGTCCAATGAACTGTACCCTAGGTCGGTTTGAGGTAATAATGTTGGTTGAACTTTAGACAGTATTTTCAAAAATAACATTAATGATGTGCTCGCTTGATCTGAAGTTAACATATCACAATGATCTGTTAGTGTATTGGCAATATGAATGAATAATTCAAGTAAATGTTCACTAGGTGTTTCAGTAAATGTTTCAAATGATATAGCATCTAATAAGAAATCAGTCAGAGAGCATATTTCTACAAGACTTAATTCACCGCTGCCAACAGATTTAACAACATCTGATACTTCTTCACATTGGTCTATCTTGGTTAGAGATTGACATGCATTTGAAAACATAATACCTGTATATTCCCATAAATATTTTGGTTCCAAGGAACTAAATAATAAATTTGCTGATTTTATTAATTCAGATGATTTGTCAATTTTGTTGTCCTTTTGGCAACACAAATAAAGAAGTCTAAAAACTTCATATAAAATATCATCTAAAATAACCGGACCAATTTCAGTTTTGTCTAATAAAGAAACAAGAAGCCTATATGGACGTAAATCATGAGGCTTACAACCAGTTGCTTCATGAAGTTTGATTTTTATAGCCTGGAAAAAATTACTTTGCAGTTATCATTATAATTAAATTTATAATTTTAATAATAATACCTGTACAAGTAAATCCCTGGAATATATTTCAAAATATTTTACTGTAGTTAATTCTCGTGCTTTCCTTAGTTTTACTAAAGGGTGATCTGAATTTAATAAAGTTAAATTAACTTCATTACCAAGTAACCAAGCATATAGACGCCTAAAAATTGATAAAATTTATATTAAATAATCTTATTTTAACATAAAATGTACACATTATAAAATATATAACCTGTTTAAAGACATATCTCTACGAAGTATAGTTACTAAAGATGCAGTAACAAGACGAATCATATCACTTTTAGATAGTTGTGTGCTATGCATTGGGAAGCCAATTTGTAATAAATCTAAACCACTTCTTTGAACCAAAACCATAGAATCTTGAACACAAGCACATATAGCAGTCACCATTGTATCAATATTAGTACCCATTATATGACTTTGATTTTCAATCAACAATTTTCGATCAAATCGGGATAATATATATAAGATAGCTGGAAGTCTAACTGCTAAATTATTAGCTAAACATTCCCACAAGTGACTAAAAAATATTGGAGCACCAACACCAGCACATACATTGTCTAATAAACGATTTGTTCTGCAATAAAATTTAATTAAAAACATTTGTTTTTTAATCATCATACCTTATTTTATTACAAAATTTACCTGTCAAAAAAATCAGAGCCTTCTTCTAAACCAAGTAATACTCCACTAAGAAATCCATTTAATCCTGGAATTAATCTCTCTCCCAATGGTACAAAATGATTTTCATAAATATTCAAAAGATCTGGTCTAACATTCATAGCAGCATATCCCATTACAGGAAATAAACCTAATAAAGAAGTAATACAATTATAATTTAAATATTATAAAATCAAAAAACAAAATTTGCATAAACTATGTTTAGAATATTATATTTATTATATGTAAATATATTTTTTTTTTGACAAACCTGCACTATAAATAAAAAGGTCTTGGCTTAATCGATTAGTGCCCATACATTTGAATATAATGTCATATGTTTCAAGTGCTTTTAAATGGACCCCAGATGGGAGAGCATGGTGCATACATTGTGCCAGTCGTTTACTGATTTTTATACCTCGTGGTATTACTGGATACCTAGTATAACTTTGAAGTACCTGTATAGTAAAATGTAAAACATTAACATTTACTCAATAGAAAAAATTAAAAAATAAAGAATGGCATTTAGAAATATTGGCAAAGATTTTTAATACACATATTAACCTTTAATAGTTAAAATATCCTAATAAATGTTTACGATAAAAAATAAAATATGAATTTCAATTAATTATATATATAGTATTAATGTTATTAGCAGCTCAATTGAAATGCAAAACCAACATTTATTATGTCAATATCAATAAAATATTAATATGTATGTATAGCCTAATTCTTTAAAATAAACAATATTATTATCGATTTCTGGTTAGGCGTGGCTCCAAATTTAATATCTAAAAATATCTACATTAAATCAGGGATTTAGTAGAATTTCTTTGGCAGCTTTTTTTTTTTCATTTATTAAATAATAAATTATTATAATCTAAAATAAAATATAAAAATAAATTTTAATTAGACCAAGTCTATAATGTGAGTAAAAAATAAATGCATTATATTATATCCAACTATAATAAGGTATTTGTAAATAAATAAATATAATTTTTATAAATAATAAAAATTAATGAAATATAATTAAAAAAATACTATAAACATTTAAATAAATTATAAAAAATATACATCAACACAATAAGTTACAATATAATGAAATAATTTGATAAATATTAATGAAAAATTATAAGGAGAAAACTTAACTTTGGCATTACTTATTTTTAAAATATAAACATATTGGTTGAGCTTTATAACAAAAGTAGAAAGAGGATATTTGGCTAAATATTTAATAAAATATTAAAATAAAGTTTAAACATGAAAATAATTATATAAATCATAAAAAATTATCTATATGAATTTTGTGCACCTGTGAACATAAGACTTTTTTATGAAAAATTTGTATGTAAATAGATATGTTAACATTATTTTGGCACAATTTTTCACCATAATGGTGCCAAAAATATAAAAATAGTGTAATACTTGCTTTTAATGTAGGCTTTGTTACCAATCTCATAAGAATATTTATTTTTACTAATCTATTTTAATTTATAATAATTGTTTTTATCATTATTAAAATATACTATCATTTATTTTTATTTAAATCTATATACGATATATATATCACTACATAAATATAATGTAATGTTAACAATAATGTTTAAATTAACTATATATCAATGTATTTGTAGAATGTACATATTTTTATAAATATTTATTAAAAGTTTATAGGTAATATTATTATTTATTAGAGATAAATAAGTAAATTTGAAAATCCTACTACTAACCTACCCTCAGTTATTGAGGATAGTCATCAAACTTTGTATTTTACAATTAAAGCTTAAGATTCACATTGTTTTATTTAGGAAAATGTTTAATTTTTTTTTTTAATTGATCCCTAATATTTTAGTAGGTACTTTTATAGTTCTATCAAAATCTACAGATCAATACAAATTTGCTCAACTGAAATAATTAGGGGTTTCTTAAAATTTAAATAACATTGTGTACCTAATAGTATTATTAACATTTTTTACTTTTTTTATTTTTATTTTAAGAAACTTATATTAAAAGTTAATTTATCTCAACAATAATTGTTGATTATAATAATTACAATAATTTAAAGAGGAAAAGAGAGAAAAAAAATATTTAAGAATATTTTTTGAGAGATTTAATAGTATGAAGAGCGTCTATTATAACTAAACATTTGGTTGTGAAATAAGAGGCAGATAAGGGAACGTTATTGGAAAACTTCATAGAAACACTAGGAATGAAAAAAGAACAAACAGTGACATTTGCTGAAACCGATCCATCGGTGAAAATTGGCAATAATTGGGATAATGAGTAATGATAATCATTAAATAAAACATTTATAATTAAGGTATTTAAGGTACAACTAATAATAAAGCCTCAAAAAGGTGTATTGTAAAGAGACAAACGGCTGGATGAAATGTGAATGAAAGGAAAAAATGAATGAAAAGAATCCGAAATAGTAGCTAATAAATGGGTAAATTTGGCACAGTAACACCAAACACAGAAAATCGATAAATACAATGCAGGGATAATCATGAAGAATAGGGGAAGATAATTTATTAATTATGAATTTACTACCCGACCAGCAAGCTCGAATGTCTAAGGGAAGAATGCATAGCTCGATTTCTAAAGGTGGGAAGGGAGCAGTGCGGAGGGCACAGAGAATCAACAAACGTAAACATATGTCCTGGTAAGAATTAAATTAAAAGCAAATGATTTGCAGGCTGCGTCAAATAAAAAAAGCTATAATCAAGCCTTGCTTAAACTATAGCTTTATAAATTAAATGAAAAGAGAAGGGGTGGCCACCCCAATTAGTACCACATAGGACCTAAAATAAGTTGGCCCATTTTGAAGCAAAAGAAAGAAGATTTAGAAGATGTGGATTCCAGCAAAGCTTGGAATCCATGATGAGACCTAAGTAGGTAACGTTTGAATTGAATGGAATATTATGAGTGCCCATATGCACGGGTGGTAAACACAAAGGAAGCCACCACCTAGTTAAGATAATGGCTTTTAATTTTTCTGAAGCTGCTGTGAAAAAAACTAGTGCTTAAAGCAGTAGAAAGAAAAACAAGGACAGAATTTAGGTGATTAATGGTGAAATCAATATCTTTGTAAACGAAGAAAATTGTTAAATTGTCTGCGTAAGGAATTACTTGAAAGCCTTTAGGCGATAAGGAATAAATGAAAAATAGAAAATAAATATGGAACAGGACGTGATTTAAAACACTACCCTGAGGTAAACTGAGATAACTGACACGCTGCAAGGATTGCCCAAAAGGGGAGTTGAAAACGAGAAACTAAATTAAAAAATAGAGGAGGAATTGTCCAAGATAACAGACTAACAAGGGTAGGAATATGTACCATGTCATAAGTCCTTTTTATGTTGAGGTAAGTAGTTGCCATAAAATGCCGACTGCAAATGGTATGATAAATTTGATTCGAAAAAAAAACGAGACAGTCTATTGTACCGATATCACTGAAAACATACATAGTGTTGAGAAAAATTTGATTAGTTTCTAGCCACTAGTCTAAACAAACATTTCTTCTAACAGTCAAATTATTAAAAAAAATTACTTTTTAAAGTACAAACTAAATTACATTTCAAACCTAGTTATAAATTGTATGTTCTTTATTTAAAGTGTTTTACTTTCATTATCTTGACTCAAAAGTATTATTTACATTTCAATAATAATTCATAATTACATATATACTCTTATTTTATAGGATAAAAAATTATGAGTATACATAAATAATACCTAAAATAATAATAAATAATACATAAAATTTAATATTAATACGACTAAAAGAATAATTATAAAATCATTACATAATTATAAAAATATACATAATGTCAAAGAAAATAATATCAAAAATATTTTTAAGGTCATCTATAGAATAAATACATCTCTTATATTATGTTAGTATGCATCATGTGACACACATATTTATATAACAATGTTATAATAGTATTTAAATTGTACACATAATGATTCACATTTAATAACAACAGCATAGATAATATTAATATAATCTGTGATATAGTTTGTTTTACTTAGATATTTATTGCAATTTATAATAAATCCAACAGTAAAATAATAAGTTATAAAAAAAAAAAAAAACAATTTTAGTCAAAAATATATACATCAATTCCATTTTTAAGGCTATATATTAACACCATGGTTACATTCATAGACCTTATACTAATAGACGGAGCAAGGGTGTAGTTTGGTGATGGTAAGAAATAGCAGTAGCAGTTATAATAGCACTGCTATTTTACAACAGCAAACGCAGACCGCTGTTCAGTGCCAACCATAGAGTAACATAGAGACGGCGTTCTGTTGTAATAAGTGATGGTAAAATATAGCAGTGATTATTAAATTTTGAATTTTGGTTTTTATGTTTTCCTAGTTTCCTACACTGTTTTCTAGTTGCTATTATATTAGAAATTAGAACACTCAATATAATATGAAAAGTAGCAGTAGCATCTAGGCGGCTGGCAAGACGTAATTCACAGATATAATAAGTTTATTCAATATATCTGTGACATGTGATAATTGATAATGCGCGTGTTATCGACGCTTATCGTATGCTCAGATATTAGATATCATTATATATATATATATATATATATAATGATCTAATAGACTGCTATTTGGTATAATATACATAAGCTGCTATTAAAATATCAAATTTAAAATTAATGATAAGCACTATATAATATATTATCAGCTGTTATTATAAAATAGCAATAGCTGCTTTTTATCACTGCTATTTTAAAATAGCAAGAGTTGGGGGCAGTTGTCCAAAAAATGATAAGGACTGCAATCGAAAGACGGCGGCATAAAATTTGTTGCCAATATAAAATTTCTAAAAATTATATTATTTTTTTGTTTAAGAAGTTATACTGTTTCACTTAAATGATAATTATTATATTTTTTGATAATATTAACATGATTAGTTACAAATAAAATAAACATGTATAAATTATATGAAATAATTATAAATTGTTGTTATAAAACTTTTATCATAATATAAATATGATATAATTGGATTTGGTAATTTTCGATTTAGTCAGTTGGAACGGCTTTTTCAAATTTCGGACCTTATCATTTCTTAGGTCCGAATCATTTTACGGACAAGTGCCAATCACTCAAATAGACGAGAGGATCGCGACAGCAATGTGAGCTTGTTTTTCAGAGCAGTTATCATGGCTGAAATTAACGATAGTTTCATTATCATCCTGTGTTTGTTATCAATAAATATAATATAAAATCTAAAAAATATGATAAACAATTTCAACTTTGACGTTATTAGCTCTATTAATACTTACGGTGAATTAGAATATTCGTTATTTTTCAATTTACCTTATATCTTTGCAGTGTCATCAGATAAAGGGGCGGGGGAAATTGTTCTCTCAGATAAAAGGAGGACAAAACTATAATTTAGAAAATAACGAAAAATAGTTACTGTGCCACTGGTCTTGATATTCTCTCAAATGTATACAGTACAATAAATTCTATGCATTTTGAGTCCTCAATTTTTCTAAGCTGAAGACCCTTGACAGTGCTGATCACCCCCTGTCCCACTTCTAGTTGCGGCACAGTCTGGATGCTGGAATAGTTATAATTCTTTTTGAACACAATTTTTTTATTGTGTATAAGACCAGAACATTAAGTTCAGTGTCGCATATAGAAAAAACCAGTTATATATACTATATTATAATATAATATAATAATGTAGTAATATAGAAATAATATTTACCTATTTGATATAATACATTAGTGATAACAAACACAGGATGAAAATGAAACTATCAATAATTTTAGCTATGATAACTGGTCCGAAAAACTAGCTCGTATTGCTGTTGCGATCCTCTCGTTCAAATAGCAATAGCATTATCAGATTTTACAAAAAAAAAAAAAAATAGCTGTTTACCATCACTAGTTGTAATGTTGAAGCGCAAGCAGACGAGATTTTACAGTGTAGTCTTTTGAAAAATCAAAAATATTGTAATATACATTTTTTTTTATGTAGCGTTGTCATGAATGGACTTAATACCCCAGTTCAACTGGAGTGATAAGAACAAAAAAAATCTGAGTTCAAGATCACTACACTTAAATCGTCTCACCACCCTTGAAATTTAAATATTAAACAAAAAATGTTTCTTAAAAAAAGAATTGAATATATTGTCATAGTTCTCACCGTAACTACTCCTAACAGCAGGCCCGGCTTAAGTGTTGAAACACACGTCCTAAGCAAACTTAAGTTTTGTGACACCCTTTACACTAAGTACTACGTCAAATATTTTTAAATGCGGACCTAGACGTGGGCCTATGTCCCCTACACTGCCTAATAGAATGATTCTAATAAACAGACGTTAAACTTAAATAGGTAATATAAATGTTCGTAACTTTCATATATTTATAAATGTACACATATTAAATATTCACTATCCAGTAATCTAAATTCTCAACATAGTAATAATACAATTATTTTTCACTTAATATTGTTATTTATAACTATTTAGGTACAAATTATAAATAAAAAGCTGCTACAATTAAATAATTTTATTAATTTAGAATTTTACTGGCTTACTGGCCTCTGAAAAGTGTCAAATTAATGTACCATGTTCTTAAGGATGGTTTTTCATTATATTTTTTTAAACAATGACTAACTTTAAGTTATATATAAGTCGTAAAGCATTAACTTCGTGAATCATGCAAAAATTGAAACGCAGAGTTGGACTTTGGTTTAAAAAGAAAAAAAGAAATAAACAATCTTATGGATTGTTATCAGCTTTTGATATTTTAACACTGCCACCTAATGGTATATAGCATAATTAATTGACTACCTATTGGGGCCAATGACCTCTAATTTGACATTAGTCCGATAATGCAGCATGAATAGATAACGCTGTCTCTATATTACTCTATGGTGTAAATAATAGCAGTGATTACTAAATTTTGAATTTGGATTTTTATGTTTTCCTAGTTTCCGACACTGTTTTCTAGCCGCTATTATATTAGAAGTTAAAACACTCAATATAATATGAAAAATAGCAGTAGCTGCTATAGCAGTGGCAACTTGGCGGCTGGCAAGACGTAATTCATAGATATAATAAGTTTATTTTATATATCTGTGACATGTGATAATTGATAACACGCATGTTATCGACGCTTATCATATGCTCAGATATTAGATATCAATATATATATAATGGTCTAATAGACTGCTTTTTGGTATAATATACATAAACTGCTATTAAAATATCAAATTTAAAATTAATGATAAACATTATATATTTTCAGCTGTTATTACAAAATAGCAAAAGCTGCTATTTATTACTGCTATTTTAAAATAGCAATAGCATTATCAGATGTTACAAAAAAAAAAATAAAAAGAAAAATAGCAGTTTACCATCACTAGTGTAGTTCGTGTGGTCTTGCAAGGCTGCGCTGCTTAACAGGACCCGGTGAACTACGCACATGCGCAGTAGAATTTCAGGTTGTGTGTGTTCATGGGTGTTTTTTAAAAAAATATTGTATGATAATAACTGTCGACTGATAACAATCATTTAAAACATCAATAGTCAATACGCTAATATTACTATTAGGCATGCATTGACTTTAGTGCAATAATTATTTACATTACGTTCACTTGTAAGTTGTAAGATAAATTTGTATAACTTAGTATATATTTAAAAATAAAATATCTAAGAATTTATCACCGTTAACTTATTTTACTTTGGTTAGGTATAACATATTTACAATGGTTTTTTTCTTTAAATTTCATTAGTTTAAATGATGTCCTTAAAACCAAATACTTGTACAGAAAATTTAATTTCATAAATGTATTAGTAATGTTTATTTATTATTTGTATACATATAAAAGTTTAATTTATTATGTAAATAATTTAAAAAATTCCAATTTAAAATATGCAGCAAAAATTTAAAAAACACGCATTTATAGGAAAAAAGTTGGAACAAAACAAATTTATAACAAATCAGATTTATTTTATTTGCTTTCCGAACAAATGTTTTGCAAATTTCAAATTTGCAAATGCATAGTCCCGAACTCTAATAATTATGTTATAACATTATAATAAAATAAATAAATAAACATATTTTATATCGTCAGAAATGACAATACTGCTATGACCACACCACCCAATTCCACCAACCCTGGGTGCTCCGTCAATGAGTATAAGGTCTATGGTTACATTTAACTATTGAAAAATCTTTTTGTTTCAAAAAATATTCTAATTAATTAAGAAAAAACGATATATCTCAAAAAGATATTACCTATGACAGCATACATTTAAGATTTCAATTACAGGTTTATTGGCCTACAATGATTCTATGAGTAAAAAAATAAAATATAAATCCATATTATTGAAAAGATAGGTTGGGGCATTATGAGGTAATAGTTAGTAATAGCAACATGATAATAGATAAAATACATGTAAAGGGCTTTATTAATCTAGAGAACTCAGCTGCTTTTATAAATTGAATGATATTAGTTTCTTGTTATTATTGAAATTACTGAATTATAAAAATACTAATATTAATATTATTTCGAAAATAAAAAGAATTAATTAAATAAGTTAAAATAAAGTTACTATATTGTGAGAAAAATGAGGAGTATATTAGTTTTACCTGGTGTTTTTATTTTATTGTCTGTGTACATAATTTTGAATAGCACTCAAAAAGATCAAATTACAAAAGCACAATTTCTGACTTTATCTACCTATACTACTTTAGATTTCTATTTCATTCTTAATTCATATTTGAGAGAGTAAATATTTAACTAACTCCTAAACAGAACTCTTAAGAATTTAATTTAAGAGCATATCTAATACTAAATCATAAATGCAAAATGATCAACCTAGAATTTAAAAAAAGAAACAAGAGCAAAAACAAATTTAGAATCTTAAATTATGTTTTTCTATTTTGTCATAATTTCTTTTACACTATTTGTTCTTATCAACAAATTATTAAGGTACCATGTATACTTATTATAACATCTTAGTACAAGTTTAGAATATATTTAAAGTTAATAAAATAATCATTTATAGGTATTAACTATTTATTTTACACTAGAATATTTATTTGATAACTAAATATTAACTTTATTTAGATATTGTGTACAAAGGAAATTCATATTTGTTAATAATCATCAAAATTTATCAAGTTATGTTTTATAATTTAATTTATTTACCTTATTTAATTTTCCTAGGGCAGATATTAAATCTGCCCATTCACTTGTATATTCAAAACTTTTCAGTGCTTTATCAACAGCATTAACATACCTGAAAAATAAATAATTATACAAATTTAATATTTTAAAAATATAAATTATTCAATAAAATATGTTTAAGAACAATTGCAATAATGAAAGTAATTATTAGTTCAGCCTTGATCTACGTTGCATATAAAAAATATAAACAGAATAAAAAATAAACAGAAATATTACTGTAAACATATAGATAATATATGATAATAAAATAAGTAAAAACTATGAATAACACTGTCTAGACATACCAAGAAATTTAATTGGGTTGTCAGGAATGACGAAGAAATAGTAAAATTCAAGGTTGTCATAATTATATTGTTCATCAAAGTATTGATTTAAAATATTTTAACCTGTCATAAGAAAATTAAGTGTTCTAAATGTGTAATTGATGTAGTATCAAATAAATCTTTCATTTTTATTGTATTTTTTTACTATGGTTATAAAGTAAGGGCAAAATATAAGTATTTTTTTATAATCAAATGTACTTAACATTCAATTTATTCAACATGAATATATATTATTTTAGTTGTTAAATTAATTACTTTAAACCAAAAGCTTCTTGATTTAATTTTTATTTAGATTTAAATTTCAAAAATTAAATTATATAATTAACTTTAGAATTTCCAATACCTATCAAATCTTATTATGTTAAAAAGGCTTTTTAAAGTTTAAATCTATTTAATATATATATATTTTTTAATTTTTAAGTATAAATATTTATAAAAATGACAGTTAAATATTTGTGCTTCAATAATTTTATTTATTAATGAGTTATACAATTTAACTACTATGCATACTCAATAATATAATATTATAATACTTAAAATAAATGTCTGAGGTAACTGTATTTTATACCAGTGTGTGATTAATAACTAATATATGTCTTAATTGATAATTTACAATAAATTAACACAAAAATTTTTAAAAAAAATTGTCTAATGATGTTTTGATAACAGTTTTCTAATCAAGCACTAATATTCTCAGAAAATGAATGATATAATCTAGAATTGAGGTTCTAGGAATCAATATATATTTAATTGTTGCTGAATTAATTTATTCTAAATTACAATTAAAATTTATACTGTATAATTTAAGTCAAATTCGAAAATAAGACTCAAATATTTAAGATAATAAATTTATTCTTGGGTCATAGATATTTTTATAACATATAAAACCAGTGGCAATGGCTCGTACCTTATTTTCTTGAATCCTATGTAGTATTTAAACCCCCCCCCTCCGCCCGCACAAAATAAATTTTTATATTTTTGTTTTATTTAAGTAATTTGATAGTCAATAGTTTTTAAAAAGATATATTTACTATAATAATAACTGTAAAATAAATAATTGCAAAGAATAATTTTTAAATGTTGTCATTTGAATATACTATTGTTAAGCAGCCACTGATATGGACTGATAATAATTATGAAATTAATATAAGCATTCCTATATGTTTCACAAACTAATCGCAACCAAGTACAAATGTATAATATTAATTGCGCCTTTCCTGCTAAGCCTCACAAATATACCTAATGTAATAAATACATTTTACAGTTTACTGCTGCTAAATACATATTGGAAAAAATTAATTAATTAAATGAATAATATTTTAAAATGCCTTTAACTAAACTAGGAAAAAAAAATACAGTTATACTGCAGATACCTAATATTTTAATTTTTAATTGTCTATTTTTTTTTAGGAGAATTTTATTACATAATATTTATATGGTTACTTAAGTTCAAATTAAGGAGTTGTCCATAGATTATTAAAATATTTCTTTTTAATGAAACTTTTTTTATCCTGATAAAACAAATCAAAATTTAAGTAGAATGTTGATAATTTGCACTGTAATATTTTTTATGCATTTGCATATGTGTATGTATAATATATAATAAAATAGTATAGAGCAGTAAGACTAAGTTAGCAAATACTGTTTGATAGACAATTAAACATTCATTACAACTGAAATATAATAATTACACATGTTACAGGTATACTGGGTGTAGTATAAAATGGTTGCATATTATATAATATATGCTGATATAGTCTTTTTACCCCACACTGTATTGTACTTTTTAAAAAATAAATAAATACTCTTTAAGCATAAAATACACTTTTCAACATACTATAAATTATATATGAATAAATAAATGTTATCATTGTTCAATGATGCACACAAATGTATTACCCTCATTGGTTCAAATAAATTAACAAGTTAATAATCAAATTTTTTTTATATCTTAAATACAGAAAAAATATTATAGTATTACATAGTATTTTAACTATTTAATATCTATAAGAATAAAAAATATACCTATCTAAAATAAAAATATGTTTCATCTTAGTTACCTAGTTATCAATTTACATAAAGTATAAATCTTTATTATTTTATAATATAATTAATATTATTTATACCTACTTTGCCTAATTATTATTATAAATTTAATTCTTTCAATTGAATCAAAGAAATTATAATATGATAAGTAATAAAACCTATTTTGATTTTTACTGATCCAAAGATCCAAGACAAAAGTTTTTACTTAATACCAGATTTACCTAGTGACCTTTCGAAAAATAAATAAAATATAGATAGTAAAATATTAAATCTTGAAATATATTTATTTAATATCTAGAAATGTGTATAAAATATATATTGAGTATTGTATACAAATATAAATTCAAAATTAATGATATTTTTCTTATAATATTAAGCAATGTTAACAGTAGTAACAACATTTATATATATTACTGAAATAATTGTTTTTATTTAGTAGATGGATTTGAAATGTTGTTAATTATAGTTTTCTTGCTCACACTGTCAGCTTTATATTTTTTTATTATCAACATGAAAAATACAAAAATATCATAAGAAATATTTGACCCAAGTCTATTCTTGATAATTTTTAATTTAAAAAAAACGTTCACAAGTTATTTGGGTTGAAATTAGTATTATAACACATTTAATATTGTATAATTTATTAATAAAATACTTAACCATAATCTTTTAGCAGTCGCCTATGGTGATATAGTAACGTATATTTATATTTTTAAGTATTTTAAACCTAGGCCCAGGTAGTAGACCCAGATACTGAGGCGAGGTCAACCCTGGTTATGGTGACTAGGAACCAAATTAATGTAGAATTTTAAATATACAAATTAAAAGGTAATTTACTTCCTGCTGATTGAAAATAAATATAATCAATATTGCAAATGCATTATTAACTACTAAATCTAAAAAATAATATAGATACATTTTTTTCTTTATTTTTATTATTAAAAATTTAGATAAAAAAAGAAATAACTTTATGAGAATTAAATTAGACAAATAGTTTAATTAAATACAAACTTAATAAAATTAAAATAGAAAGAAAAACCATCACACACTAAAAAAAAACGACTAAAATCAGATAAAATATAGTATAAAGTTGTAAATATAATAGGTATATACACATTTATAATCTAATGTACTTCTATATATTTCTGAGTATAAATAAATAATATTAAACCAGAAAATCTGACTGAACAGTAAGAAACAATTAAAAAAATTAATTTTGCAGGTAATTAAGTAAAATAATATAAATTCATTGAAAATAATACTTATGTTCAACAGTATTTAAATCAAAGAATCAGGAATAAGGTGAATTAAACAATATCACAAAGATTATAAATAATGTACGTACCTATATATAAAAATTACTAAGTATAGTTTGTTTTAAAATTATAAATATTTGGCAACATAGAACTAAATTAAAATTACTATAAAATAACCTTACATTATATTATTAAGATAATTCTTGTTAATAATTTTTTAAATAGTGAAATTAAACTATAAAATTTAAAAATATTGTAAGTTAGTTTGTTTAAGTATTATAATTTAATATATTAAAAATAAAACAAAATAGCTACTAAAGTATATAAACATGAGAAGTAGAAATTTATACCCTAATAATTTAAAAGGTTTATTGATTTAAAACCAATAATTAACACGGTAGCAAATATTTTATTGACTTTAAAGGTAATTTCAGGCACTAAAAATTATTACTTCTACAAATAATTATTGAACATTACTCATACATCTACAAATTAAACAGAATATAGAAGACACATAATTATGGAAATCAAAATGACTCATAGAATTGACACTCCAGATTAATAAAAAAAAAACAAAGGTACAAACCTACATTTACAAGTATCTCCTACCAACTAAAAATGAGTAAACTAGGTATAGATAAACAGCCTACTTACATTCGATATTTTGAATCCTTCATGAGATCAAATTCTTCAGTGGCTATTGTTCCCATGTTGTCAATAATTTTGTTAACACACAATAGTATTCCAACCCTCCAATTTGGTAACGCGTTTAACTTTTTACGTATAATTACATAACTACATAGTTAATATCTTTATGATTATTTTTTTTTTAAAACAAATATAAAAAAGTTTATATTTTACACGACACATAAATATTTATCATATTAGACGAAAATATTGAATGGTTAGAGTTTGTGAACGTTAAAAACAAACAAAAATTAATTCAAATTATTGGTATAAACGAATGTTTCTAAAAAATATATAACATAATCCGAATATCAATTTTCTTTATTGCACTTGGTCACTTGTCAGTACTGTACACTACAGCAGTAAACTTCTTTCGTGGTACATCTAACTTGATGACAAATCAGCTGAAAGTTAACTATAAAGATAAAATTTCAGTGCAGCCAACTTAATACTGATTGAATAATATAAACAAATCGCATATTGATTGTGGTATGAAAATAATACGTAAAGAATTGTTGTTTAAATTATTTTTATGGTGTCTGAAACATTCATTTAAAAATAAATAAAATTATTTCAATCTTAAATGAGATTTTTAGTTTCTCACAAATTATTTTAATAATAATATCTCAAGTCCAGGATCCATGATTAGATTTAATATTACGTTTCTCAACTTCATTTGAAATTATTATCAATTACAATAAATTTTAATCTAACACACAATAAAATGCGTTACACATGTGTAACACTGAAGAAAAAAAATTTAATTTTCTCATTCAACCATTTGACTTATCATCAGATTATCAGGACTCTGAAAACCTGGAGGTTATATTATTTTTTTATAAAGTAGAAGGTAAAACCAACAGGTTTACAATATATCGTCTTCAATATCGTATGAATTTATAACTATTTTATTATTTTATTTTTTTCAAATAAAACTAGGGTCGGTGTTAAATTTGAGAAATGGAATTCAGTTCTAAATTAATTAAAGTTCATTTATCGAACTACTTGGCCAACTTGCCTTTACCTAATTCATTTCTCGGCATTTTCAAATTAGGAGGTAAGGAATTATTTATTATTAATATAAAATGTGTTGAGTGGTTTGAAATACATTTATTATGTATTTCAAATTCATATAAATTCTTATAAATATTCATTTACTGAATTAGTCATTCATTATACCTAAAATTGGTATTATTTTTAACTTGCATTGAATAAATTGATTTTTTTCATAAAATTGTCTTCAAATAAATAGAATGTTTTAAAATTAATACTTACATAATATATCCATTTATAAGTGATTATTAATTTGTGTATATTATTTAATTCATAATGTTACATCAGGCCATCAATGTAATATTACAAAATAAAATAATGCATAAAATGCATACTTTATATAGCATTGTTGCATATAACATCAGTTGTTACACTTCAGCTAGTAGGATCATTTAATTGAAAAAGAAAGTGTTTAAAATAATTATAACGAAGGAAGGGCAAGGTTACAGAGGGACATTTCCCCTCCTGCAAAATGTCTAAAATCATGGAAAATTATTTACTATGATCAGAAAATATTTATTTAAATAGAATTAAAAAATTTAATTTAATATATGAAAATCTATAATTTGTTTATGAAAAATCTATTTATTTAGTTTGGAAAGTCAGGTTATCGGCTATAAATAACAATATGCTTTTTCGTTTCTATTCTATGGATAATTATCAATTCTTAAAATATTGTGTATTTCCAGAAATATGGTATTTATATGTGTGTACACAACCATAATATTTGTAAACTAATATTTTAATAAATATAATTAATGTTTTAAGTGTCCAATTTATATTATTAAATAAAAATTTCAATAAATTACTTTTATGATAAATTGGTTAAATAATTATTTTTTATAGTCTTTCAGTTTGATATAATGTAATAGTATAATGTAAAATTGTAAACCCCTTCCTATATCGTGGGTCATTTCTATTTATGAATAGATTGATAAATTAAAATGTTGTCTCCCACTTGAGAATTTGACTATGGGCGCCCTTGATTATAACATAAATTAATTTTAGCTTAATATTTAATAAAGAATTAGCTTAGAAAGCAAAATATTTATTCCTGTTTGTTATTTTTATAAGTCTTAATTTAAGGCTCATCCACATAATATGGAAACACAAAAGGAACACACGTGCTTGAATCATTTGTGATGATTGTAAACATTTTATACATACAGGCATTCATCGTACACATAATATTTGGTGTATTTGATTTTTGTGTTGTTCATGAATGAAATAAATTAAAATTTTTTTTTTGGAGAAACATGAGAAACACACGTATGTACTGTATGTAGTGTATGCAAATTACAATGGCATAGACATAAAATAGGGGGGGCAATTGCCTCCCTAGAATAAATTAGGAGGGGCAGTTCCCCTTCTGATATTTAATATACCTTATTTTAAAATAAATACTAAACAGCTGGTTATAGCTTTTACTATACATTTTTTTTTTAAACCTTAATTTTCAATTTTCACTTTTCTAACATAATGTTAGAAAATTAATAATCTTATATAATAATATGTAGGTAGTAAAGCGGTGTTTAACCGCGGACACCCTTTTCGTTAGATATGTAATTATATATTTCCCCCCCCCCCCCCTAATAAATTGCAAGTTACACCTATGTACAATATCAATGTTCTTAATGAATCCAGTGTAAGTGTGTCATGTTTTCAAACTAGGTGGACTTGCCTTTTTTGTTTCGTACAAGGTTTATAACAAGAAAAAAATTAAGCATATTTCACATTAATTGAAATACAAATAATATATTGATATGTATTAAATATGATGATTTTTTTACAATACAATTTATTTTTATATCTAAATAATATTGAGATTTTATTGAAGAATTAACAATTTTTTTATGGTAACAAATGCATTTGATTAAAATCTCTTTAAATGTTATTATTTTATGGAGTATTATCACTTAATATATTGTATGATAATTAGCATTTATAATTACGTTTTTATAAGTTTAAGGTTACATTGTGCTGAAATAAGAAAGTTATTCTATAACTATAGTAGGTATTTAACTTTTGAATTAATTATATCATCATACTTTCAATTTTAAAAAATATTGATAATTGTTTAAATGCTGTCTTTAACTAATAAATTTTGTCTGTAAGTATATTGTAGTGTTATAGTTCATAAAATATATGTATATTAGAATCACACTATAATAATTATATTGAATTCATATTGTTATAAAGTAGAATAAAAACATTAGGGTTAAATACCCTAACAGACCATCATAGACTTCTGTTAATTCTATAGTAAGTTCTTAAATATTTATAAATAGGTTTATAAACTTATACTGTCTTATAAGAATATTTTTTTATGGTGCAAAAAAAAATTACTCATATATTTTATAATAAAAAATAATTTGTAGTGTATGGTAATTAGTGCTCTTCAACGAATTTCAATTTTGTACATTTATTATATAAGTTGCATAGATCATCCATCTATAATTAGCTTAAAATTTATACCAAGACTCAACAGTTTAAAAATTATGAAATGTATTTTTTTTGATATTACCTATAATGTATTTAGCTGAAAATATGAAATATTTTAATAAGTTGACTAAATGCCAATTTTAATTAAATTTATGATACAATTACTATTTATTGGTTCACTTTATGTATTTTTTTCTTGATAATTTAATAGAAAAAACCTGAGAGAAAACAATTAAACAGTTAAAATTTTGTAAGATCTTTTTTTAAATTATTAATTACTGCAACAAGCATGCATTGACATTTAGCATTATATAAATTTCCTTCATTCCCTCCACTAAATATTTAGTGAATAGATTACATTTTAATATTTTCAAAAAATGTGCGGTGTTTTTTTTTTTTTGTGTTTTATAAATTTTTTGATAACATATATTTTATGATGCAATTAATTATATCCTACCGAATTATTTTATTTTAATACAATACCTATTTGTTAACGATTATCTGATAGCTTTTGTTCAATTGTGATTTTTAGAGCTTGAGGTGTATCTAGGTAATTGTAATCATTTTTATTTATATATATATGTATACTAGCTTATAAAAATTATTTTTTCTGTCAGCTTGGTAGAAAACTTCTATTTTTTTAGTGTAAACAACTATAAACTTGTAATAAAAAATAAAACTTATCTGAAGAAAAATTGGTTTAAACGACCCAATGTAATTTTTATCAAGTGTTATAATATTAATTCTGTAGTATTGTTATGCATTTTAAAATATTTTTTTTAACAGACTCTATTTATTTAATTATTTCAGTATTTGTGTCTTGATTAAAAACAATTATATTAGGCTTAATATTGAAAAATATAATTTTGTATTTTTTTCACGACTCTTTAATTTGATGTCTTTTACCTTTATTTAAAATAAAATGTAATTAAAATTGTTTAAATTAAATAAATTTAGACTATTCTTCTATAAAAAAAATTTATCAAATAAAATCTCAGTATATTTTTTTTTTGTGGTGAAAGATTTTATAATGTACCAACACAGACCGATTATTTGTCTGTGAATTAAGTATAATTATTGATTATTGGAATTATTTTCTGAACATTAATTATAATTTTGAAAACCAACTTAAATGATAAAATAAAATCAGCTAGATAATAAGAAGATTATTAAGTATTCATTTTCTGTGTCACCATTCATTTTTAAGTTTTTATTTTATTTCAATTTATTTTTTCAGTTAAAGACATAATGAAATTAATTCCATTTTATGCTACTATTGGCGGTGTATGTTACATTTCATATAGAGTCATCAAACCAAGACATGTAAGAATAAAGCTATACTAATGTTATACATTTTCTAATTTTTATTCTTTTTTTTTATAGCCTGTTAATCCATCAATAAAAAAAGAGTCTCCAAAAGTGGTGGACGGATTTGACATTGAAGAATTAGGTGAAAGTACAGCCTTTTGTAGATGTTGGAGGAGCTCTAAATTTCCTCTTTGTGATGGTGCTCATAACAAGTACAACATTGAACAAAAAGATAATGTTGGTCCATTGTTGATAAAGAAAAAGTAATGAAATAATTAGAATGAAATCAGTAAATAAATTAATATAAAAATGTGTTATCTTTTTAGTTTTCTTGTTTTCATTTAGTCAAATAGAATACATTTTGCATTTATTAATGTATATTTTTTTATTTGTGACATACAATTATACATGCTGGACGTGTATTAAATCATTCATTACGGAATCATCATAATCTTCTATCAATAATTGTCGTTTTGATATCTTTAAGCTGAAAAACAAATACAAAATTAACAATTATTTTAGTTAGAGTTAATTAAATTTAACAATATTTATAAATTTATTAATCATAATTAGTATTATTATCATAGAGGTTCATAAAGTTCCATATGAAACATAGTAGGTAAGTCGTTACATACATCAGTTTTGATACAAAAAAAAAAAAAATATACAAGTTCCTACATAAATTAAATTATAAAATTTCCTATGGAGCAATAAAATGTATTATTTTCTGAAATGCGCAAGTTACTTAACAGACAAATAATGTGATATTATTTTATGTATTTATCTATAATATATTTAATATTTCATAATCAATAAAAAATTAAATTACACTTTTTCATGAAAAATAAATAATTAAATTTTATTATTCCTCAAGGAGGTTATCTAAGTCCTCTATTATTTATCTTATTTCTTAACTCAATCAACAAGTAGATCACCGAGATGAAGTTCCTCTTTGCGATTGATAATAAAATTTACTTGAAGTCAAATTATATTTTCTATTGTCTTTACAAGGCCAATTGAACAATTTCACACAGTGGGCCCAAGTATGTAATCTAACCCAGCATCTTTGTCTAAACTTGAATCTAGTTAAGTGTCATGTTATGATTTATTCTAGATACCATAACCTAACACATTACTTCTATCTTATGAATGGCTCTCCTATGGGAGGTATTATTAATGATCTCGGTGCATATTTCACTTTTTCATTAGATTTCAACCACCATATTAATTTTACCGTCTCCAAAGCATTCAAAGTCATAGGCTTCATAAAACATAATATGAGAATCTGTTGCTCTTTCAGTTTTCTTCGCATAATTTATTTCTGACTTGTGCGCTCAATGTGATAGTTTAACACCCATATTTAGCAAAAAACCAGTTAAGACTAAAGAGAGTTCAAAACAAATTTCTTTCATATATTTCTTTTGTACTTAAAATTTACCATTCTCAAAATGACTACTTAATTGTCAGGCACACCGCCAAGGGTGTGCCCTAGCCCCCCAGAAAACAGTCTAGCCCTCTCCTACTAAAAAATATGTATGATATAATAAAGTCATGTAACATGAATTTTAAAAGAACTACATCAAAGAATTTAATAAATATGCTTTATAAAAATTTGTAATTTATGTAAATACTTTCGTATTTTTGAAAATTTGTCTTTTAAGTTTTTAGATAGATTCTGAATAGTATATATTTATTTTACTTATTTACTTATGATTTATTACCATTTGTTCGTTTTCATCTAATCGTAGTTATATGTCACGAAAATAAAAATAGTCATATTATATTATATGATACGAAAATATTTATATATTTTATTTGAATAAGCCCAATATTTGTTGAAAAAAACTTAGCCCATGTAAAAAAAATCTATTGCCGTGTCTTGTCAACCGTACTTATCATACTAAATATCCCCACACTTCCTGTCGATTCGATGCTGAATCACGTTATATCGGAGGTTTACTTGACGGATCTATAGTTGCTCCAAACCTTCCATTAATTTCCGTTTCCTGATCTATCCCTCAAGGCTTCATACACATTTTCTTACTCACACGACTTCTTATGTTCACAATCATCTGTTACACCTTATGCTCCATAATGTCAATAACACCATCTGGTACACAAACTTTTAAGTAACTTTTTAGTGATATTTTTAAGGGTAGACTCCTTAGGGTGGTTGGCCGATAACAGAGAATTAATCGACCTTGACGCTGAAGGTAGCAGTGGAAATATGTATATGGTAAATTAAAAATATTTACGTTTGTATTTAATTTAACACTGAAAATTGTAATGATAAGTACCACGTCTTTATATTATCGCGATTTCAAGTCTTATATGTATTGATGTGAAAACATACAGCATTCAGATTTTAATGTTTGGGCAGTGAAAATTTTCGAGCGTTACCATTACTTTTTTTTCATAACGGTATATTATATTCTAAAAAGGAGAGACGATTCTTATGAATGTTATATCTGAAGTTTTACTAGACTGATTTGTACAGTTTTTTTTTTTTTAAATACGAGTACTTTGTGTGGTTTAGATGAGCCATTTAATGGGAAAAGTTCAAAAATGTAATTAATTAGTTATTAGAAATATTAAATTTTACTTGTATATGTAATTATACTTGTATACGATATTGGTTCGGTTTCTAAACTGACGCTGCGGCACGAAAAAGCGACACGGAGGGAAAACTTTGGGCGGCCACATATTACCGACTGACCGTTGTACCCCGAATCTTACCCACCGTTAGATAACCGTCCATCGCATGACTTGTTAGACAAAAATAGAACAGTGGCATAGAATCCTCTAAATAAATATAGTTCTTAAACATTTTCAATCCTATCCTACAAATAATATGAAATCACATGTTTTAAATAAAGAATATTTACTTCAAATTCTATATAATAAATCTATATTTATAATCTTATATGTATGTTTTCACATATTCAGAGGGTCGCATGCGACACTTTTTGGTTATTTTATAATAGCTATACATTGTTTTGTTTATTCATCAAATAAATCAACTAAGTTACTTGCAACTAAGCTCTCTTTTATTTTTAAATTTAATATTTTAACGATTAAACTTTAAATATCTATTCAAAATAAGATTTATTCAATTCATAATAGTTTTTATCGGTCAATTATTGCTTTTCTTTTAGAAGTCTTGGATTGGTGAGCTGAACTTGGTTATTATGTACCTCGTATTCAGTATTTCTATATTAAATATTCATATTATTTTCAATTTTCAATTTATTATTTTTAAAACGTATAATTGTAAAAATTCTTTAAAATTTAAAAGTTTCAAATTAGAATCACAATTATAAAACAAATAATTAAACATATGTTTTTGTCTATTCTTTGATTTTTATTTTATAAACAGGTTTTAATTTTTTTCTGTGAATAATTGGTTTAATTTTTCTGTTGAACTGGTCTTACTATTTACCTTCAGTGTTATGGCCGACTAACTCAAGCCCTATATATATATCCATTGAACTCTATATGATATCTTATCATTTACAGTTCAATGAATATATCTTAATCGATGTAACTTAAATTGTGCCCTATGCTGTCTGTTTAAAATGTTATTAGTGTCCATTCTGATAGTTGTATTTCGTGATCTTACTATTTACTTTCTGCTCCGTTATAAATATTTACTATCGTTTTTCTTGTTATCCTTAATATTGTGTACTGATAATTGATGCTGTTATCAACGTATCTAATTGTATGTATATTCCACGTACTGTTACCCTGTTAATTGCTGTTTGGCAAAATACAAATAAAACTAATACTAATTATAATGATACTAAGTTACCCACAACACATTTATGTTATTAGTTTTAAGTGGTAATAAAGCGAGAAGGAAATTTGTATTGTTATACTTTTTAGTTTCTTAAGAATTTACATATATATGATGTATTTGTTTTGTGTCGAATCATACTCAGTAGTGTATTTTTTTTATGTAGCATTTTCATATATGATATTTACCTGCTACATCTCGTGTGAGATCTTACGATTACCTTATATTATGTTTTATTATTGTACTATGAGTATATTTGAAAATGATTTCTTTTATCCTTTATAAATTTGATTTGTTAGATCATTTAATATCTAAATGATAGAAACTATTTAAAAAATATTTTTAAAATAACAAAACCATATAATTAATTATTAAAATTTACTTACATAGTTTTTAAAAGTCTAAACTAAATATATTTTTGATTTTGTCCAAAAGCCAATAAAATAAGTAGTTATTAATTTATTTGTTTCTTAAATTTAAAAATTTATTTAAAAGTTGCTTAATTTATATTGTTTATAATTGATTTATAGATAATAATAACAATCTTCAAAATTAATTATATATAATTATATTATATGCTTCTTATATATGCTTCTCATATTTATTTTAAAATTAAATTGAAAAGTTTACTTTAAATGAAAGGTTTAAGATCTCATTAGTTTAATTTATAGTAAAAATAATATATTAAATTCATATAATATTATACTTACTTTTGAATTTTTCTCAAACATAATGCAGAACACGATAAAACAATAACTGCCATAACCATAAAGATAATTGAAGTTAATAAAATTGATGACCAGTTATCCTCGATTCGATTATTGTAATATTTATTTTCTATATAATTTTCAGTATAATTTTCATTTATCTTAGCAATGACATTAATTGGTTGCGAAGATGATTTAAAAATACTATTAGAGAATTGCCTGTTAAATTTGTCTTGAAATGAAGTATCTGGATTATATGTGGTTAGTTTATCATTATTTTCAAAATTCAAAAATGGTGGTTTAGTTATTTCAACATTGGATGATTCTGTAGTAGCTTGTACAATTCTTACACGTAATCCATCGGATGGAAATTCTAGAGGTGGAGTAGGATTGATGTCCGGAACAATTGTAGAACAAATAGTAACACCTAAAAATGTTATGTCAATTTAATAAATAGTATTAAAGATAAAAATATTACATGCATTTCAAACCATTTTTGGCATACAACGACATCTATGTGTATATTTAACCTTATGGGCACGGTTAAAATGTTGAAAAATAGGTAATAAATATTTTTAGATTATTTGAACTACCTAACTCAACTTATCTTATTAAATATTAAAACCAAATTTCATGCTTAGTAACATTATTTATTTACTATTAGGTCGTAATATCACCATAATTAAAATCTCATACCTAGAAAAAAAATGTACGCACAATTTTAATAACAAATTATTCAGGTATAAATTTAAGTCGTAGGATTGACATAATGCTTAAGTATAAACATTAATTATTGATTATAAGTATAACGACATTTTAAGAAAGGCCAGCATTTAAATTATAATCAATAATTCATTATTTGTAAGTATTATGTCAATCTTACAATCATAAATTTGTACTCGAATAATTTGTTATTAAAATTGTGCTTACAAATTTTTTTTTTGTAATTACAATAATTATTAAAAATATTAATATTCTTTTTTTTTAAATATTTTAAACAAGCATTTCTTTTAAATTATTAAAACGAAGGTGAATTTAATATCTTTCAATAAAAAAAAAAAAAAAATGAATTATTTGAATTATTAATTTTGTTATATTTAAATTAGTGTATTACAAATTGATAAAATATTTAAATGATAGGTTTTTTGAATTAGAAACTGTATTATTAGATGTGGGGAAATAATTAAAATAATTTCCTCAAAACATTAATGTTCCCATAGCAATTATTAAAGCTATTTTTAAATTAAACTGTTATGCATTGATTATAAAGAAGTTTTAAAAAATAAAATAAATTCTTCTTATATATAAATATATATTTTTTTTTTTTGAAATATTACGTTTACAATTAATATAAAATCTAAAAATGAATAATATTTTGTTAGGATTTGAAAATAATGTTAGGTATTTATTTACATCAAATTATTTATATTTATTTTTAATAATATTTATATTATATTTTGATAATGATTGAAATGTTGGATTTTGGATATGATAGGTTTAATAATATGTTATAATTAATAAACTACTTCGTAAATAGGTATAATAAACTGTACATAGTATAAGATAGTTAAAAGTTATGAAAAGAAAAAATGAATGTAATTAGTATAAATGTGTTATGTTAAATGAGAATAAGGAATGCGAAAAAGTAATAGAACTATTACGTTGTGCACTTTAAAAGACAATAGCAGAGGGGTACTTAGATGCATCATAAATGCGTTTTTATTAAAAATTAACATTTAACATCAAAAAAACGTTTTAATTAGGTAATACCTACTATCGTTGATCAATCAAAAATAAAATAGTGAGGACTTAGTCACTAAGATAGGTAGAGTTATATTCTGCAGCTTTTTTTTTTAATTACTATAATAATAAGTATATTTTAATAGTATGTATTGTATAGGTTTATATTTCATACCGTTTCTAAATACATTTTAAATTTATGCTAATTTTATGTGCTATTAGTACTGATAGTCTTAATTATAGAGTATAATAACAACAGCAACAACTTTAAAAACATTTTATTTTAAGAAAAACAAGAGTTTAAAAATGTTTTCGTATTTTTTTCTTTAAATAATTCTAAAAACAATAAGATGGTTGAATACCTTATGTCTTATAAAGCAATGAATAATTGTGTTTTCATATTTTTCAGTTCATATGACAGTGCCAAATAAAAACAATCTATAAATTATAATATAAATTCAATTTTTACTAGAAGCTTAATTAAAATATATATATAAATTCGATTATACGATTCGTTCATATAAGCGAAGTGAAATAAACGAAAATTTGTTTTTTATAACAAAATTATTGGCTCTTTAATCTGTACTTTATACGAGTACCTAGTACAAAAATATTTTACACTATAAGTTTATAATGAAGATTATTATTTTACATGAAAATACAATACATACTCAATACAGCAATTTTTATGAAACTATATATAACGCGCGGCAGCGATTACTCATTAAAACTTATAAGTTGCACTTTTTAATCATACAGTTTAAGTCTATCAAAGACCAATATAGGATAATAATTACGAACAATATTAATGTAAATATAAATAAGTTATGTTATTTACGTATTTCTATACAGAAATTCTGTATTTCAATAACAGAGCATAGATTAAAAAAAAAGTTAATTGTTGAAGGTTAAAAAAATTGGTTAATTTAATAACGTACATTTCAAAGCATCACATCTTTCTACGATATACTAGATAAATATATTATACCCTTTTGAGAAACTAGGTACTCATATATTCTGAGGTGCACTGTTGAAACTTAAAATATTTAATTTAATATAAATTGCAAAAAAAAAAAAATATTTATATTTTATTATTTTGTGACATTGTGTAGTTTCCTATATTTTTGATTAACCAATTTTTTTTATAAACTTTCTTTTAAGTATTTATTTATTATTAATATTTTTATTTTTGTACTTAACTATTTTTACTAGCCTTTTCTAATTGATACATAGAAACATTTATCTGCAAAATACCAACAAAATATTTAAAAGATATGATAAACTTGATTTTTAAATCAAAACTTTAACTTGAGCTGATTTATCTAGAGTTTGTTATTAGTGTATTTTATTCGAAGTTACTTTTTTTTTATTTTATAAAAATACCTGATTTAAATTGAAGGACTCTTACACAATACATGAATAGTTTCGTTTAACAAACAATACCTATAAAGAATAATGTTGATAGCATTTCATGTCTCTTGGCGTAAAATAAATCACCGATCGCAAAATTAATTTTATTACAATAATGAAATAATAATTAAAGGGTGGAGACTCGTTTGCGCACACATTAATATATTCTTTAAATTTACTTTCTAGATTGTGAACAATGAAAACCAGCTTTTAGGTACAATTTCGGGTATCCGTATACTCTAATAACATAACGATTGATTTTAATCGTGGTGCCCATTAGGTTAGGAAAAAATTGGTTCAGATAGATACGAAAAAATATAATTTTATTAAAAAAATATTCGAAAAATAATTTTGAGATTGGAAGGTGGCAAGATCGGTGACTTAAATAATTTTTGGTTTATTATATTTAACTCAAATTACGTTCCGGACGCATTTACTAAAATAATTTCAATAACACCATGCAAGAATAAGTATTGATTTTTCAGACTATATATTAAAAAAATATATTGATTTTGGTACTAATTTTGGGCCAGAATTATGAGCTAGTATACTAGACAATAACCCAAAAATAACGAACAGAGTTTTCATTTTCACATGTACTTCAATAGTCAATTGCATACCTCTCATCCTTACATTCATATTACATTTTACATTAAATTTCACCTTAAATTTCATTAATTATTCAAGTATTAATAGAAATTCAAGTCAATATTAATTTAAAAATTAATTCATTAAAAAAAAAAAAAAAACATCCGTAAAAGAGAAATATTAAAAACAAAATTATACGAAAAAAATATATTCTGATTACAAATTTATAAAATTGATATTTTAACATTTTTAATGCAAAGGCGTACCAATGGATAATAAATACCTATATAGATGCTTTATTTTAAGCTATAAATAAATTATTATATTAGACTTACTTAATTATTATTATACTTATTGAATTATGTTAATGATTTGGTTGTAAAAATTATTGAAATTGTGATAAAAATTATTTAAAAATGTGATAAATTAAATAACTCAAATAACATCATTAAACCCGCCATTCTACGACACCAAAATATAATTAGACAAAGAGTGTTAGACCTTATAAAGATCCATTGAAAATATTGTAATAGGGTATAATAATTTTCACCATCAGTTATGACAAATTCGAAAACTTGAAGAGGTACCAAGTTATGTACATCCTATAAGCGGTAATATTTCTCTGAAAATAGGTTTCTATTGTTCGAAAGTTGTGCACAAATGAGTTGTAAAAAAGGTAAATGTGTTCAAATGAGTAATATCAATAATTCCTAATTCTCATTATTGACATTATCTAGGTTATTAAACTATGTACCATATAATATTATATAATGAATATTTTAATAATAATTTTCGATAATAATATTTTTATCAATAAGCTTTAAAAAAAAATAAAAATTAAAAATCAACTTAAAAAATATTAGTCAGATTTTTTATTTGTGTTTGGTTATGATTTCAAGCAACATATTTTACTCGTAATTTGTGGCGTATGGTATTTTTACAGAAAAACGGAGTTCAATGTTTAGTCTTGAAATCAAAATGTTCACTTAAAAATGTTAAGCAAGGATTTTTTTTTCACAACATAATTAAAATATAAATCAATGTTAAATTAAGATGTTTAGATAAATGTATTAATTTTTATATTATATAATATATATATACATATAAATATACATTATTTATGACATTTTATTAATTTGGACAGTAAAATCGACAGTATATTGTAAAGTATCTAACTAACATTAAAAATTGAAAAATTTTAAAAATCTAATATCAAAACAATTAAGTTTTCTATAAAAAACTTGAAATATTAACCTTAACCCTTAATTGTGACGAGATAATTAAATTTGAATAATTTGATGCAATGTTGAATATATATAAATATATTATGTTGATGTCTGTAGAAAATGCGAGTAGATATGTTAAATCTGATACCTGTTGAACTATTTTAATTAAAAATGTACATATAATTGTTATAGAGATAGAATTAGTTTTAACTTTTATGAACCTATGCATTGTAGTAACGTATACTTAACGAAAGTCCAAAATTTAAATTCTACACAAAACCACTAAAAAATGCTAATACATTTTTGTGTTGAAGCCTTTTATATAATATTAATTAATAACTTACAATAAGTATATGTATAATTAGCTATACAATTATATAAATAGGATAGATCATTAGATTTTTTATCATTTATATGTGAGCTATATGAAAAAAAGAGAAATCAATAACATTTTGAAGCTAAC